CCCTGGTAGTTCAGCTGGTAAAAAATCTGCTGGAAGTGCAGGAGACCCCAGTTCGATTCCTGGGTCGGGAAGATCCCCTGGAGAAGGCATAGGCTATCCACTCTAGTATTCTTGGGCTTTCCTGGTGGCTCAGATGGTAAAGAATTCACCTGCAATGTGGGAGATCTGGGTTTGACCCATGGGTTGGGAAGATACCCTGGAGGAGGACATGGCAACCCATTCCAGTTTTCTTGCCTGGAGAATCCCCATGGACAGAGGACCTGGCGGGATATAGTCCATGGGGTCACAAAGAGTCAGACACGACTGAGCGACCAAGCACAGCACAGCATGATGCTTTTTAGATGCCAGCCACTGTTCTCAACTCTTTATGGATGTAAACTCATATATTCTTCACAATAGTTCTATGAGGCAGGTACAGTATTCTTACATTGTTGATGAGAAAATTGAGTCATAGAGTTTAAGAGATTAACCCAAAATCACTAGAAAATGATGAGGTCAGATTCGACCCCTGACAGTCTGTCTCTACAGACCATGCTCTAAAGGACTGTACTATATGGCTGAGAGGGAGGGAGGGAAGGAGAAAGGGAAGGAGGGAAGGATGGAGGGAGACAGAGTCAGAGACAGACAGACATAAACATCACCGCCCCCCTCCCCCCACCACTGGTCATAGACAAATTCTAAAATTTGAGTGCATTTGTTAAATTTTCTTAGGACATCTTCCAAAAGATTTCAGTGTATTTCCAAAAACAGTCCTGTGGGTGGAGCCTGGTACCAGAGGTCAATGATGAGTGGACCTTGCCCTGACTTCTTAGACAAATGCTGAGGGTTGGGCCCCCAAGCCCTTTCAGTCCCACCATCAGCTGAAAGGTCCATTAACAGTGCTGACCATTGCCTAAGAATGAATAGAAAGACAGAGTCAGCATTGCAAGTGTGGGTCAGTTGATGGCTTGCTGGTTAAATACTCAGAACTACTTTTCAGAAAATGGAATATGAAAACCACACTTTTTCTTCCCAGATGGCACTACTGTCACCTGGTTGCCTAGACACCAGATTTTTCTTTTAATTGAAGTATACACCAGATGCTTTTACACACATACACCATGCAAACTGTAGGGTCAACTCTTTGTAAATAGCACGGATGCCTGTACACGGCAACAGGGCCCTTGGGTATTAAAGCTTAAACATTTTTGGCTCTCCAAGCAGCCAAGTTACTCTTAGCTCAAAGAGGTAGGTGCATTATATTAGTTTCTCAGAGGGAGAAAAATGACTGCTTTGCTTTCTTTCAGCATGTTTTATTGGTAACTCTGAATAATATATGGTCAAAAAGATTGACTGGTTCCTGCCATGAAGAGAGGGCCCCTGACTGCTAATCACAGTAAGGGAGACTAGATTCCATGGGTTTTATTTTACAAATCCTTCCAAAGTATAAAGGCTGATGTGATATTTTAACAATTTTATGATAGACCATTTATCTTGAATAGAATTTATGCCCAGTGATCATATTTAGTTTTTAATGTTATTGTTTGGTATAGTTATTTTAGTGTCAGACACAAAGATCTTAACTATCATATGAATTACCTTACATATGATTTTTTATAGCATACATAGCCAAGTTATGCATATTCAGTTAATATAAATATCTAATCTAACTTGATCAGATCATCAAAATAAATATGGTCCAGATATCAAAATTCACTGGGAACAGATGCCCTGCACTTAATGCCCTAGAAATATTTTTGAAAAGGCAGAAATATTTTTGAAAAGGTGCATAGAAATCAAATTTTTGATGAGTTGTAAGTAGTAAGGTTGAGTTGTAAGTTACTCAGAAAATTGACTTACTAGGGAAACTGGTTATGTGAAACTGGCTACTATGAGGACATGTTTTGTGAATCAAGGGTCTTCAGCATTTATTTGTTTAACTATGTCTTTCCTAAGCTTTTCAGAATAGATTTGTGGTATGCTGATAGTTCACATTTTGTAAATTTGAATTTGTGTATTGGCTTTGTGGAAACCAGCGGGCAAACAAGTGAAAATACTTTAAAAAATTCTCCTGTCAAAATAACTTCTGTACATTTGAAAGGTTAAATCATTTTTTTATGTACCAAAGAGTGCTTATCACTAGCAGAAATTTACTTTTTATTGTTGATCAATTTATAGTTGTAGGATTTTAATTCCATTTTAAAAAGTGTGTCCGAAATTATAGCACCTGCTTGCATTTACTGTTTTAGTCACCCTATTACAGATGATTCCGGAGACATTTGTAAATGCTCTGCTGTTTTTATTTTATTACACTTGCTTATTTTTTAAATTTTATTTATTTATTTATGGCTATGCTGGGTCTGTGTTGCTGCACGCGGGCTTTCTCTAGTTGTGGAGAATGGAAGGCTACTCTGTTGTAGGGTGCGGGCTTCTCATTGCAGTGGCTTCTCTTGTTGGGGAGCACACGCTCTAGGCACATGGGCTTCCATAGCTGCAGCACTTGAGCTCAGTAGTTGTGTCCGTGGGTTTAGTTGCTCTGTGGCCTGTGGAATCTTTCTGGACCAGGGATTGAACCCATATCCTCTGCATTGACAGGTGGATTCTTAACCACTATGCCACTGGGAAAGTCTGCTCTGCTATTCTAAAGTTAATTTCCAGGTCAACCGGAGAGTTTTTATAATGTCTTTAAGGAAACACGCACTCTTGTGGGTCTAATATTTACATTATTTAAATTTATGCTGAATTTGTTGTTTATATGAATGATGAGGTCTGGTTAAATACATTTCTACTTCTCTGGAAATTTCTGAAAACAAAGCAAAACTAAGAAGAAGGCAAAAACTACACAATAAATGTAATTTAGAATTTAAATACGTTAATTATGATAAATTATAACCATGAATAGGACAAAACCATTTGTCTTTAAAGTCTATGCATAGTCATATTCCTATTACATTAGGAGCTTTTTGCTTCAATTTCTTAATTTCTCTCTTGTTGAATTTATGTATCAATATGCTAAGTATTATGATGTTATTAAACGCATATTAGAAGTAATATAGGGCTTCCCTGATAGCTCAGTTGGTAAAGAATCCACCTGCAAAGCAGGAGACTCCAGTTCAACTCCTGGGTCAAAGGCAAATTTATTTTATAGAAACTTCAAACCAGAGGATCATCTTACATTAACATGGTGAACCCACTTATCATGTGCGGTGCACATGTTTTATATAAGGTGTGCCACAGAAATAAACATATTTCATTGGCCATATATAAAAGTAACAGAAGTGTGTTGAAAATTGCTTTGGGGTGGGGCAGGTGGTAGAGTGTAAAGGCCCAGTCCATTCATTTCTGCTTTAAATAGTCAGCTCCCACTATTGCAGTAGAGTTGCTTTTTCCTTGAAGTTCATTTTGACCTTTTAGTTCTTTCTACCCTTCCATTGTTCCTGGCCCAAGAAAGCAGGTGTGGGAGGAAATTGGTTTCTTTATGAACTCTCCTCCCAGCCACAATCATCTCAGATTCACTCCACTCTCAAGATCCTGTGATAGGCTTTGTGTCCACATGAAAACCCTTAACAATTGTGAGATTTAATTCTGTATTTTCACATGCTTCAAACTAATTCACCTTAAAAAAAAAGTTTGCCTATTTCTTCCCCTTTAAGGACCCACACAGAGTGTGGGAAATGCTTGAAGGCAAAATGACGTGATAGGTTCCTTGGCGGTTTCTGAGGGGGCACTGAAATCAACTTGCTTTTGTCCTTTTTTTCTCTAAGCTTTAGAAATGTGAAGTCTGGCAGGGATGTCTTAAACTGGCTCTGGATGGCAGGTGGACATAATGACCTCTAAGCTGATTAGCTCACACCCCAGCCTCACTCCAAGGCACCCTTTAGTTTCTGAGATGAAACTTTCAGGATTATTTTTTAGGCGTCTGTGACTGCCAGCTGTGAATAGAAGAATCATCCTACTGCTCACGGACTCTAACCTGGTGGCTCTCTAGCCAAAGCAGAAAAGTCACACCTGAGGGGAGGGGTTCATTCTGAACACACGGCTTCAAGGACGTTCTACACCCAAGTGGAAGGTCTCTGGATTGTAGCTAAAACTTTCACCCGCCCAGAGATATTTATGGTTTGAAGGGTTTACCCCTGATGTTTTGGCAATAAGAAGAAAATAATTTCTCCTCGGGGCATTTGGAATGGGCAAAATAAGCATGCTGTGCACAGCTGCGGCTCCCAAGCCTTTGATGATTTCCCTGGGAGACAGGAGGGTCCGGCCGGGTACCGACTGTTAGACTTGGAAGCTTCAGCTCTTACAGTCTTTGTGTCCAAGTTACCTGAATAATCACTCCTAGCATCACCTGCTGGGGCCTCATTTTTTTATTTCTTAAAAAAAAAAAAAAAAGTCTTTCCGTCGTCTAGGCAATCGGAGGAAACTGATTAACGCCCGGGGAAGCTTGCAGATCAGCAGACCCCTGGTGGTGCAGACGCCCAGCTCAGGCGAAGCCCCGGGGGCGTCCCCAAGGTGTCATCTCCCCGAGCGACAGTGCACACCTCTCACATTAACAGCCCTTGGTTCCGCTCGGGTCTCTCCCACCCCCGGCCCTCCTCCCCGAGCCCTTGCCACCATCTCACCTTCTCTCCTCCCACGCCCTGGATCAAGCATCCCTTCTGTCAGGTGGGGTTGGGGAATGTTTACTCTTCCCGGAAGGGGGCAAAAGGGTTAATGATGAGAGTCCGCGCAGGTGGGGCCGCCCCCGGCCGCGGTGGGCGTCGGAGGTGAGGGGGCGCTGTTCAGGCGGGAGAGCCGCCAGGCTGACGGAGAGGCCGGCCTGAGTGGGGGCCGCTCCGCCGCCGCCGCCGCCGCCGCTGTGATGCGAAGCCGGTGTTGCGCCGGGCGGTGGAGTCAGAGCCCGGGCGCGGAAGCACGAGCTGCAACATCAACACCCGCGGCGGCGGCGGCACCTGCACCAGCTCTCGGGCCCCGCGCTGCGCTCTCCGCCCCGCCGCGCCCGGGGCCGCCGCCCCGTACTCTCTATGGATGTCAAGGCGGCCCCCAACGGGGTGGCCACCATCGAGGACCGCATCCTGCGGATCACCGGCTACTATGGCTATTACCCGGGTTACTCCAGTCAGAAAAGTAAGACGCCGCGGGCGCTGCCTGGCTCCAGACGCCGGAGGGGGTAGGATGCGGGAGGGCGCGCCGTCCGGACACCTGCAGCCCTGCTGGCGTGGCTACCGCGGATCTCCGGGCGGTGGGGCCACCCTGGCTGAAAGTATGTCCGCTGTCCTCGGTGCTGAACCGTGAGCGAGAACGGTGTCCGGACTGTTGGCGCCTAGGAGTTTGGAAATAGTGGCAGCCTTGGGGGCAGAAGCGCAGAGGCAACCCGGTGAGCGCTCCTGGCAGCCGTCTGCCGGCTCAGCCCCGGCGTACTTACGGCCGAGGAGGCTAATATGGCTGTTTACTTAGGGAAAGTCAGCCCTTGGGGCTGCACTCCCCCAAAGTCCCTACTGGGTACAGGCTGCGGGTTGGGCGCTGGAGCTGCCGGCTGGATAGGCTCGGGGGTGGGGCTGGCGGAGAAGGCCGACCCAGACGTGGGTCCCGACGCCGATGGTTCAGGCTGTTCACTCTGGGCTGTTGAAACGTTGCCAGCGCGGGAATTACTCCTGTTAAGATGTCTTTTGGGAGGTTCTCCACCTTGGGTAGAGAAAGAACCTCTTCAGGTCTCCGAGTTTGTGATCTTGGAGCCAAAGACGCTTGAAAAGACTGGGGGCTGGGGTAGATGAGAGGGGGAGGCGCGATCGGGCCCCCGGCCAGCCCCAAATGCCCGCCGCACGTCGCGGCTGCCTCTGAGTAGCGGCAGATTGCTCCATGGGTTCTGGCTTTCTTCCGGCTAAGCGAGGTCCTGTGGTGCGGATGCTTTCACGTTTCTGGAGCAGTTTTGCAGGGAGGGCGCTGAGGTGCGCTCTCTGTTCTGTCCCTCTCCCCCAACACACAAACCCACTGGCTGTCTTTGCTGGGATTAGTTCTGCCAGTGACCCAAGTGAACCTCGTTTTTTTCTCTGAATTGAGGGAGTAGCTGCCGCTTAATTCCCATGCAGGTGGGATTTCACTTTTTTCTTTATCAACGCATTTCTGTCGCAATAGATGGAGCATAGTTGATGTTTTTGCTGTTATGTTTAACCAGAAGCCTTGGAAGCTCATAGATGCGTTTCTGATTGGTATATTTCTGAGACACTTGAGGTACAATCAGCGTTACAGTTTCTCTGAAGGTAGTAGACCCTATTACATGGAGGGAAAATCAACTTTTTTCCCGGTAACTCCCCCCTCCCGGCCCCCCCTCACTATGCTCCATCTCTGTTGATCTTTCCTGCATGGACTGTCCTTACACAGATATTTTCTAGTTTAATATTTCATTTGGTTTCAGGAAAGGCCTATCTGATTTGTATGGTCTCTATCTAGCTGTTTTTAGCATTAGAGGCTTACATTATTCATTTCCCATACAAAAGTAATTATATAGTGTTAGAATTTTCTAGAAGGAAAATAACATGCTGTGGAATGCAATTTGAAGTCTTCGTACTATAGACTCAGAAGTCTTTTTCCCCATTGGCAAAGGCTTTCTTTTTTAACCTAGAAACTTAAGCAAAAGCACTAGTAGACCACATGGAGATTACTTAGATTTCACCTTTGAATATTTTAATTAGGAACCATGGGATTTTGGTTGTTTAGAGAATGTAGAAGCCGACTGTGATATTACAAGACTCAGGATAGTATATTATTATAGCTTTTATAACAATGGAACTGTGGTTAATAAAGAACAAACTAAAAAGAATACTGGAAAAGTGATATTTTAAACAGAGACATGTTTGTATTATCTTTTTGTACTTGCTTGAAATAGCTACACATTTTATTTGCCATACAAGAACTGGACAAAAAGAGGGAAGAGCATTGGTTAAGACAATAACTGAGTCTAAAAGGGATAAAGATGCATTTGTTATAGTTATTTGTGATGGGCTAACTTCAGGCCAGCATTCAAACAGTGAAGACAGAGATTCTCACAAGGACAGAGAATTATATGACTATCAAATAACTTTCAGAATGTTTAAGCTTTCAGAGGTAGAAGGAGATTGCCATTTTGCAGAGTGAAAGGCTAGGAGAAGAGAGAGCTGGAAGAGGGCCAGGCAGCTGAGCACCATGAAATAAATAATCGTGCCCTTAATGCAGGCTTCAACTAGTAAACAAACACATTGAGGCAAACCAGTACAAGATGGGCAATTGATTTAGCTGTTACCAGGAATGAGCAATAACTTAGGAGAAGTCTGGAAAGATATAGTTAAGAAAATCCTGTGGTGAGGAATATGTAACACGTGAAGGCGAGGTGACTTTCTCATTTTTTTATGATCATGTCTGAAGCCTTAAGGATGGGATGATCTCTTAATATTAGCGCCATTTACTTTTCTAGAGGTAGATAGAGACTCATCTCTGACAATATGCATGAATGATCAACCTCATGGTAATGCATCCTCCTGCCATTCCTGTCAACCAGGAAGATGAGAAACTTGTTTTTCAGTCACTATGTCGTGTCCTCTTTGTGACCACATGGACTGCAGCATGCCAGACTTCCCTGTTCTTCACCAACTCCCAGAGCTTGCTCAAATTCATGTTCACCCAGTCGGTGATGCCATCCATCCTCCATCGTCCCCTTCTCCTCCTGCCTTCACTCTTTCCCAGCATCAGGGTCTTTTCCAATGAGTCAGTTCTTTGCATCAGGTGGCCAAAGTATTGGAGCTTCAGCATCAGTCCTTCCAGTGAATATTCAGGGTTGATTTCTTTTAAGATTGATTTGTTGGATCTCCTTGCAGTCCAAGGGACTCTCAGTCTTCTCTTGTACCACAGTTCAAAAGCATTAATTCTTTGGTGCTCAGCCTTCTTTGTGGTCCAACTCTCACATCTATACATGACTACTGGAAAAACCATAGGTTTGACTATACAGACCTTTGTTGGCAAAGTAATGTCTCTATTTTTTAATGTGCTGTCTAGGTTTGTCATAACTTTTCTTCCAAGGAGCAAGCATATTTTAATTTCATGTCTGCAGTCACTATCCACAGTAATTTTTGAGCCCAGGAAAATAAAATCTGTCATTGCTTCCACTTTTTCCCTTTCTTTTTGCCATGAGGTGATGGGATTGGATGCCATGATCTTAGTTTTTTTAATGTTGAGTTTAAGCCAGCTTTTTCACTCTCACCTTTCACCTTCATCAAGAGGCTCTTTAGTTCTTTGCTTTCAGCCATTAGAGTGGTGTCATCTGCGTATCTGAGTTTATTGATATTTCTCCCAGCAATATCAATTTTCATTCTAGCTTGATAACCTGGTTCAGAACAAATTCTAGTAGTCAGGCTGATACAAAAAAGAAAGAAATGTATGTGTACATAATTATGTATTTAAAAGATATATATAATATGCATAAGATATATATAAATATTGTGTATAAAAGATATACATGCATTGTGTATAAAAGATATATATAATCACCTCTGTATCTATAAATTTAGATAGTTAGATGGGTACATAGGTGATTAAAGCATTTGTCTAACCTCAAGTTATAGTCTGGTAGGGGAAATAGATTCACTCATTCAACAGGTGCTAATTGAGCACCTTCTATGTTTCAGGAATACACCCATGAACAGAACAGAGAAACGTATTTCCCCTTTTAAAGCTTAAGTTCTAGTGGTAAGAGACAGACAATAATAAACATATACATACATAAATGAAGTTTTATATTGCAAGGTGATAGCTGCTTTAACAAAAGTATCAGAAGAGTTAAAAGGATAAAAGATTGTGGAAGTTTTAAATAGATCGGGCAGGTGAGACCTCACTGAGAAGGTCCCTGTTGAGAAAAGACCTGAAAGATGTGAAGGAGTTTGCTGTGTAGACATTGGGAGGAATCTGTTCAGGCAAAAGGAGCAGCCTGTGCAAAGCTCTGAGGCAGAGCGTGCTGAGCCTGCTAGAGAAGGAGTGAGGAGGTCTCCTGCATGACTGGAGTGGGGTAAAGAATTGGGCAAGTGGTTGGAGATGAGGTCACTGTGGATACAGGGACTCACAGAAAGTAGCGTCTTACAGGCCATTGTAAGTCCTTTGGCTCATACTCTGAATGAAACTGGGAGCCTTTGTAGGAGTTTTAATGGTTTTAACAGAGGAGGGATGAGACTTGACTTACATTTCAAAAGGATCAAGTTGACTGCTCTACTGGAGCAGAGATGGAAGCAGAGAGGCTAGCTGGTATATATCACTGTAATAACCAAGGTGGGAGATGATAGTGGCTTGAACAAGAGGGTTAGCAGTAGCAGTGGTGAGAGGTGGTCAGGTTCTCTTTATATTTGAAGTTAGATTGTCTATATTTAAATGCTCTATTTGAATAGGGTTTACTGATAGTTGGATACGGTATCTACATGAAAGAAAGGAGTAAGAACTGATCCCATCTTTTCTGGTTTGACCAAGTTTGAGTTGCCAATGGCTGAAGTGTGGCAAGCTTCAAGGTAGAGAAGTTTAGGGGTTCAAGGGATAAGGATAACATTTTGGAAAGAAAATGTAATTGGAGTTATAAAATAATCCTGGAGTTCAGAGGAGTTGTCTGACTAGAGATGTAAATTAGAGATTTTCCAGTATTTGGGTGTTATTCATAGTCTAACACTAAAGAGATCTTCAAGAAGTCAACATATATAGAGAAGAGAAGAGGAGCAAGGCCTGAACTCTGGGGCACTGAGACATCGAGAGGGTGAGGGGAAGGGCATGTGATACCCTGGAAGGCAGAGAAGAGTTTGAGAGGGAAGAGATTAGCTGAATCCAGTGCTGCTGAAAGGCCAAGTAAAATGAAAACTGGTAACTGACCATGAATTTGGTGACCGGTCATCATTAGCTTCCTTGACGGGAACAGATAAGATAGCATAAGATGGATTAGAATGTGCTTAAGCAAGAATTGGGCTTGCAGCAGTAAAGAATCTGCCTGTCAATGCAGGAAAAGAGTTTGATCCCTGGGTTGGGAAGATCCCCTGGAAGAGGACATGGCAACCCACTCCAGTATACTTTCTGGAAAGTCACATGGCCAGAAGAGCGTGGAGGGCTACAGTCCATAGGGTCAC